TTCAAAGGGAGAGTGGCATGGGGCAGCTGTTTGGAGACAGTACGAACAGAGCTTGGGCAAGCCAGCTAGAGTGTCTACATGCATGTGTCCAAGGCTCATTATGGTGCAGGATGGAGCCAGCAGTGGAAAGAGAATCAGAGTGGCCTATATACCAAGGGCCAGATGTCCCCATTAGGCTGGCACGAAACAGTTTAAATTCAAACTTGTCTTCCAAGATGTTTTGAAGGTATATTTGTCACGATAGCAAGGTATATTTGTCATGATAAAAATGCTTCTTGTTTAATAGTTTGTTAGCTGGGTTTATTACTTTTAAATATCTTGGCCTATGGTATGTGAGCCTCCATCTGTTCTCTTGCCCTAGGGTCTATGAATGTTAGCGATGGGTCTATTCTTTGTGAAGACAGATATTAATTGAATAATCACACAAAGAAATGTAAAACTGAACCATAGTGCTAAGAAAATAATACGCCATTTGGGTCTCTTCTAAAATGCTCTACTTCATCTTCATTCCCAGGGTTCTCATTGCATATTGGGGTCTCCAGTTTCGCTCAAGGTCTGCAAAGCCCACCTGTTACTCTTCGATAACCCAAAACACTGACTGAAATATTCCACACCACTCTTGTCCCTTCTGAACATGGAGCTCAAGGGAAATGAACCCAAGGAAGAATGGGAGAGGTAGACCACGGCTGTTAATTTCTTCCAGACTCACTTCCTGCTTTCCATTAGGACCAAAACAGGTGCCCCAGCAACACCACTGTCACGGCAGATTTCATCTTTCTATCCACCTCCAGGTGCTCCACAGCTGACCCAGACTAGGAGGCGGTTTCACTTCTTTGTCAAGGTATCCTTGCATCTCACATCTCTTCTGCTTCCAGCTGTCTAAACTCAGCCTCAGTATATTTCACCTCACTTGGTCTTCAGCAGCAACAGAGAAGCCTTCTTTGACTAATTGGAGGAGAGGTAGCAAATTCTCCCATTGCCTCTCTCAATAGGCACCCCACACACTAGCCGCTTTTAAACATGCATCCCTTTCTTGTACCCGATATTACTGTAATTCGCCAGTGACTCACTGTCTGTGTGTCCTTGATCTCTATCAGCCCGTGTGATGTCTGGGTTAGACTGCGAAACTCCCAGGAGGCAGGGCCACATCGGCCATGTGTCTCCAGACCCTGCTCAGCAGAGCAGCAGGCACAGGTAGGCACAAAATAAAGACTTTTGATGATGGAAACAGAGGAGCAGCACCCTGTGCCCAGAGCATTGTTGAGTGCACAAGAAACAATCCACTACCACAGCCAGACCACAATCATAGCAGTCCTCCTGCCAGCCTGGGAACCAGGGCACATTTTTCCTTTTAAACAAGGCAGGAAACATTCTCTTGCTTCTGAGACAGCAATAGTAACTACTACTAGTATTACTGTTACTACTACTACACCACACTGTGACAGTGCTGCTTTAACCATATTGACTGCTCGGATGCTCAGAATGACCATATGGACCGTGGACTGTCATTATGATCTCAGTTTTACACATTTGGAACCTGAGTCACAGCGAGGCTGTGCAACTTATTTAGGCCTCAAACTGGGACCATTTGGCTTTGGAGACCTCAGCTTACCCACCACGGGACACGGTCGCTCAGAGTGAACTAATGCAGCTAGAAATGGAGAGTGAAGGGTTGCCAGCTGGGCTCTCGCCCCACTCTCGTGGATCCTTGACACCCGTTCAACCTGAATGGATGGCTGAGAAGACAGTATGTAATCAGTCAGCTTTCCAGCATGAAGTCAGGTTGGCTCTCAAAGTATTTGTTCACACCCCATCCCTCTCCCTCCTTCTGTCCTTTCTTCTGTTTCTCAAATTTGCTAAGTTTGTTCACACTTAGGCCTTTGAAGCTGCTGTTCCCTCCACCCGGAATGCTCTCCCCTAAGACCCATCACTGGGTCCTTCTCATCAACTAGGTGTCGGCTCAGATAGCACATGCTTAGGAAGCCTCTCCCTGATCACCGTAGCTAGTGTAGCTGCCTCTTTCCCAAGCCCCACTTCCAGTCTTCTCTACCTCATTTTCCTGTTTTACTTTTATCGTGGCACTCAACACCAACGGAAATCACTTTATTTATCTACTAGTTTATCTGTCTATTTCTGCATCTCCACTAGACTGTCAGATTCAGGAGAGCAGAGATCTCATCTGTTTTGTTCGCTCCTGGATACCTAGTGCCTGGAACACTGAGTGGAACATACCGTAGATGCCCAAAGCATATTCGCTAAATGCACATGTGAATGAATGGATGCCAAGTATTTTATAGATGTGCAGAACTAGCTGGGTGCTTCAGTGGCCTTCCACCATATCCATTATAAGTCCTTGGCAGGAAGAGACCACGTCTTCATTGTGGACAGTGTTTTAGCCTCTGGAGCAGTGGCAAACGACTGGGGAGCTATTCAGTTCCTTTGTTTGCACAGGGAAAAGACCAAGACATTCAGCCCCTAAGATCGGACTGTCTGCACTCCTTTCGGGCCACGTGTGGACCATGACTGGACAGCTCTCTCCCTGAACAGAGACTAAGACACTAAAAACTCAGCTTCTCTGCCCCCTCCCCCAACCCTCTCTCCCTCTCTCCCTTCTCTAGAAAGTTTTTCCCCATTACTTCCCTTTTGTCTCCCTTCCTCATTGAAATGCTATGGAGAAAAATGAGCAAAAGTGAGAAAACGTGTTCCTCACATCTAACCCACGTTACTCTAATTACTTCTATAGCACGGCCTCATTATAATCTCCTGGCTCCTGCACAGATAAAGCAGCACCCCTCCCCCAAATATAATAATCAAATGCAGGAAGTGCTTGATTTGATTTGATCCAATCTTAATGCCGATATGATATCCTATTTCTCCCACATAATAATAGAGCCTATTTCTTTATTGGTGTTAGCTTTTTTATTCAATGCTTTATTTATGACACATCATAAAAATAATGAACAAGAAAAAAAGCTCCTAGCCTCTGACTAAACCCTACATCACGTGAGGGTGTTTCACAATATTCCTAATGATTTAATATTTTTTCTTTTCTCAACAAAATACTGCTTTTCCATGATCAAAATACATGGTGTTATAATTTAATCCCTTTCAAGATATCTTCATATCTCCTGGATCCTCCCAATACATATAAAGAAAGGAAGAGGAACAGAAAAGGTGACTCAAAATCACGGAAGTTGGAAAAGGGCCTATAAGCATAAAACGATTTCGAGTTTACACAGCAAGTAAAATACCATCCAGAACAGGCTCCACATCTTGCTGTCCCTATGAACAAGGGTGTCCTTGCCAGAAGCCATACTCCCAACTTTCCCTGTGACATGTAGACTTGAGTCAGCCTACACGGGAAAAGAAAGAAATAGCTAAAGAAGTTAAGAAGCTAAATAATTCCTACTTTTGAAACAGGTGAGCCTCCTGACTGGAGCAAGATGCTGACCAGGCACACCCCAAAGTGAGGCATCACTCTTGCTCTCAGCCAGGCCACTTTGTGCCTCTGCTGCAGGCCCCACGCTGGAAGGGAAGAGAACGGCTGGAAAAGGGCTCTGAGCAGGGACCCTGGACCTTCTCTCCTAGAGTGGAAGACTCTAGGCAGTATTTCTTTTGGGACTTCAGGCAATCCTTGTCACAAGAAGGAGGAATCCAGTCCCTAGCCTCTCAGAGACATGCATTCACTCTGAGCTCTACATCACCTCCCTCTCATATGGCCCAGGCTGTGGCCCCAGTCATCATTTGTCCCTGAAGAACTTTTCTTATTCAGAACAGAAATAAAATGAATGAAAATGTCAGCTAAGCCTGCCTCTCACAGAACAATTCCTCAACAAGAACCAGGGTCACCCAGGAGCACCAGCATGGCACCCTGCCACACTGCCACTTGTTAAAGGACCACCCAGAAGTCTTCCCTTCACTTCTGGAAAACCAGTGAAGAAGTGACTCATGTGACCACACAACCCTGCCCAGAGTACAATTGAAGGTTCTTTCTCCAGCATTGCTAACTAGTTCAGGTTTTCAGGTGAACCTTTCCTATCTGGGATTCTGTGGGAAGTGATGCCACAATTCATGACTCTAGAAGAATGTGCACCTGCTATCCAGCCCTGCAGACACTAGATTGGAAGTGGAGCTAGAAGGGGTGGGGTGAGTATGTCTGTGAAAGTCTGAATGAACGAGGCAAGGAGAACACTCAGACTTGTCTATGAGGTACTTGCCATCCCCTATCCCGGATGGGGAGAGTTGAAAGGACATTCTAAGTTGATGTGCTTCAGGCCTGACAAGGGGAATAGATATGACAAGATTCCTACTAGCTTCTCTATCTCCCTTTCATCCCACTTACCAACCTGCTTTCAACCTAGGAAAACTTGAGTCTGCCAAGAAGTGTCTTAGCAAACTGCATAGTCTTCTTGGACCTAGAATCTCTTTTCATTTCCTCTGCAGTGACTAAAACACACTGTGAGGGTGCCATATACTATGAGAGAGTAGTCTCAAAGTGAAAGAACAGGCACAGGCTTGTTCGGTTTCATTCTATAAGAATATGGAAAGAAGACACACAATCCACACACTTTCAGAGAAGGAGGGAGTTTGAATTTGGGACTCATGATGGGGTAGGGGAAATGTCACTAACAGCAAATTAGATAAAAGGATATCTTGGCAACAAGCATGAATATACCACCAAGTTCCTTCATTTCATCGCTTCTGTCTCCTGGATCTTCTATTTTGAGGACGCTTATGGGATTTTTGCATGGAATTGAAGATACTAGCATTGGAAGGGAAATGAAAAAACTGAGATACGACTGAGCCACCAAACAGGCTCCACCAGGAATCGGACACCGCTTGGGCAAACTTAAACGCAAGAAATATCACTGAAGAGCCCTTAAAACTTGTAGTCCTCACATTAGAGACAACATAATGGTTCCCCAGGGCAAGTAGGTGAATAACAATCTACAAGTTCTGGAGATACAACAAGGAAGCAGGAAAAGAGAAAATGGTCTCACCTGTTCTGGTCCCTGGAAGCAGATACGGCAGAGCGGTGTCCTCATGCCACTGTCCAGGCTGCTGCCCAGTGAGTAGCGATCCTCAGCCTTCCCCTTACAGAAGTCATCTGAGGAGGCACTGCTGAGCAGCAAGGCAGGTGGCTCTGTGGCTGGGCCACCCCAGTCATCTTCCACAGAAGGTGGAAAAGGTGGTGGGGGTGGCAGAGGAGGGGTCTCCCTGCCAACTCCTTCTCGAGGGCCCCTCCAGCCTGCCCACCCCCCGGCACCTAGAGCCGGAAGGGTATTGTTGTTGGCCGTCAAACCAGGGGGCTGTGGGTCTCCGTGCATGGGCAGGGGCGCTGGAGGTGGGCGCCGCAGTAGGAAAACTTTCAGGTCATTGAAGAGCATGCGGCAGCGGCACTTGAGGAGACCCTGGTGGCGCAACATCTGGGGATCCGGGGTGCACAGTCCACAGCGGTACCAGGCACAGCAGTAGCAGCAGCACCACCACCAGAGCAGCCCGCTCAGGGGCATTAGCATGTGCCCAGTGGAAGCAGAGAGCCCGGGATGGGCAACTGGAGTCTTTGCAGAAGAAGATAGAATGGGTTTTTAGGGGAGAAGTGGGGGGTGTCCAGAGTGTATCTGTGTTAGATGGGGTGTCTGCTTTCTCACTGGTTCCTCTTATACCACCTCCAAGTAGCAAATAAATAATTTGCTTCCAGGACGGAGGACGGCTAGTCACTGATTCTGAAACGTCCTGGAAAGCCCAATTTAAAAAAAAAAATGGTTTTCTTGCCTCCTACCCCCACCTTAGGCTTTGCTTAGGGTGTCTCCTTTTTGCCTTCCACCTGGGTGTACCGGTAGGGGCAGGGGGATTAAAAAAAAAAAATGTTGAGGATAAGCTGTTAGGGCCTTGGGATAAAGGTTTGTTAGAAAGTTCCCCAGGAGAGGATTATTGGGTTGTTCTCAAATTCCTAGGCAATGGGAAGTCTTTTTTTAAATTTTATATAAAACGATGGGGAAGTCTTTTTTTTTTTAATTTTATATAAAACGGTGGAGTGGGCTGAGCTGGGCTTAGGGCAAACTAGCTCAATGATGAATTGAGGATTACATGTGCAAGAGAGAAAAAGATTGTTTTCCTCAGGTTGGGGGGTGGGGAAAGGTGGGGGAGGAGAAGAGGTTGAGAGAAGTTTTAAATCTCTTGGCCAGAAAACAGAGGCAATGAACCCCCAGAAGCACCAGAGTTGCTTTTAAGAGAGCAGTTGGGATGGGGGGAAGGGATCACGGGTGAAATTGGGCAAAGGGTTTGTGCTTTGCCTCAGCAGCCAAAGGGCTACACAGAAGAGAAAAAAGCCAATTAGGAGAATAGGGTGGGGAAATAAGGGACTGAGGAGGGGAAAAGAAAGGGGAAAAGATCTTTTAATCCTTGCAGAGCCTCCTCCTTCCTGAGCAGTAAGATCCTGGTTAGAGGAAGGGGTGTGTGTGTGTGTGTGTGTGTGTGTGTGTGTGTGTGTGTGTATGGGGGCGGGAAGCAGTGGAGCAGAGAAAAGGGGTAGAGGAGAGGGGCGTGTAGGAAGGGACCGGAGAAAGAGTAGTTACTGGATCTCAGCCCCCAGCCCACCCCTGCGACAGTTTGTAAATCCACAGCCCGCTCCCCTTGGCTCCATCAAAGGTCCCTTCCCGCGAGAGGCAAGGGCCAGGAGAAGGGCAGGTACGGGCGGGTGAGTGGCCTCTTGTTCTCCTCCTCTTCCTCCGCTGGGCGGCTGTCGCCCTCGTCAGGCTCCGGGTCTGCCTGCGGCCGCCGATGCTGCTGTGGAGGCGGTGGCGACTGCTGGTCGGCGTCCGGGTGTCTCCGCGGCGGGGGCTGCTCGGGCTCGTCCTCTGTCTGCTGCTCGCCGTCCTGCGCGGCCGCGACTCCAGCCTTCATGATCCTCCGCCTCCTTCTCCTCCTTCCCCGGGGGCTGGCCCTGAGCCCCCGCGCCCTGGCACCGCTGCCATGCAACCAGAGTCGAGGCAGGCGTAGGGGTGGGGGCGGCTGGGAAGTGAGAAGGGGTGGGTAATAAAAAATGAAATGATACTAGTAGAAGAAGAATAATTTGGTTCTCAAATAATCAGCAGAGTGCTTCTGGAGGGGTAAGGGTGGAAGAGGGCGGCTGCCGGGTCTTCACAGCAGCTCTGCCCCCGCTATCCCCATCAAGGGCGGCCTTGGCCGGCTCCCCGCGCCCCCCCAACCTTCCCCCCCTCCCCGCCCCGCCGCCGCCACTCCCTCCTCTCTGCTGCCTCTGGCTGGTTGGGCTCTCTGTTGCTACCTCTCCTCGCAGATGCTCTTGTTTGCGGTTCCAGCTGAAGGTGTGGAGGAGGAAACAAAATTGTGTGGCGGAGGTGGGATGCAGCCAGCACTTGGTTCCGGCTTAGTCCTGTCTCGCGACTCCCCAAAACCATATGTAAATGTATCTCTTATAAAAGGCGAGGGGAAGCAAATCAGATTCCAGGCTGCTGCCAGGTGTTGTCTCGTCTTCCGCGGTTGCTCAGCACCCGCCGCCGTGACTGCTGCCCCCCTAGCTCAGTTCCCAAAGGGGTGGTGCTGGAAGGGAGGTGGCGCGGACTGTGAGTTGACCGTCCGAGGAGTGGAAGGAAGCAAGGTTCCTGGAGCGGAGAAAGCTCTCTGCTATCTCCGCCGCCGCCGTCTCTTCTGCATTCAGCACCCAGGCGAGTGGACAGCTCCCACCCAGACCCCGCGCGTCACGCGAGTGGGGGCCTGACGCAGACGCCGCGGAGGGATGGAGGAGGGAATGGGGATGAGAGGAAAAGAGGATAGAAGGAGAGGGAGCCAAAGGAGGGAAGAACTGAGCGAGGGAAGGGGATAGGGAGGGACCAAGGGAAAGGGAAGGAAGGAGGAGAAGGAGGGGTTTAGAAAGGAAGGAGGGAGTAAAATGCAGAAAGCGGGAGAAAGGCTGGTGGCGGGTGGAGGGGAGCAATTCAGGTACTAACTCGTGCTTTTCCCCCAGCTAGAAAGTATCAATGGATAGTACGGTTGTAGAATTTCTACTGTGCACTATCGCCGCCTCCCTCAGCACACATACACAGACTTCTGTAACTGAACCAGCGTCCATTTCCATGCTCATACAAACAATTTTAGGCAGATATCAGTCCTCAAGTTTGGGAACAGGTAAAGTTTTGTGATCCTCACACGGATTCTGGGACTTGATGGAGACTAAGTCCTTCATGACTAAGAACTCAAGAAAATGATATTTCAAACAAGGAAAGTAATGCTAGCACTACTTTTGCCAATTTCCTCTAGAATTTAAGCTCCAAATGGCACAGATTCGTGGAGAGTCCATTTCGATCCCATGTGCCTAGGTCAATGATGGCATGTAGTAGGTGCTCAATACATACTTGTTGAGTGGATTATGACTATCACCACCATCACCACAGTCATCATTAATCCAAGCCATAGACCTTTTTCGATTGTGGACCATAAAAATCTAGAGCAATATTACGGCCTCGTCTTAATCAATATCTCTAGCCTTTCCCTGAGCCACTGACAAGAGGCAATTTGAAATGGATTTTAATTTCCTCTCTTATTTCTCCTTCTGACTCATATCATCCTACCCCTTTCTTCTCAAGGAGCTTCTAGTGAGCAGAAAAGTAGGAAGTTAGTAGAAAATTAGTCCCCAAATGCGAAGAGCAAGAAAAAAACCCTTAAAATTGTCTGTACAATTTTAAGCATTGGCAGCATTGCTTTCTTGCCTTTCCTTATAAATGCTTCTCTCTTTCTTCCCTCTTCTCCCTCTCTCTCTCTCTCTCCCTCGCTCTCTCTCTCTCTCTCTCTCACACACACACACACACACACACACACACACACCTTATCTCCAAGATCATAAACTTGGAAAAGTTATTCCAATGAGTCATCCGCACAGCTGCGGCAATGTCTTTAGAAATGGTGGAACCATAGATGGAATAGCATACAAAATCTCTCCACCAAAATATTATTGGCATGAAGTTCAGCACTGTGAATCATAAGAAAACTACCTCTTTGCTGCCATATCCGTGAATGATTCATTCCTACAAGACCTACGGAACAATGACCTAAGTCTAGGTCTTGGTCAACCCAGTGTTGCTGCTATTTTGAATTATGCCTCAGCACCCACCAAGGCTGCTGAGACCTGGCCCGAAGTGAGTGACTTGACGTTGACACTGATGCTGTTAATAACTACAAAATAATATATATGTTATTAATATCCGCATGATCATTGTGCTGCAAAGAAGAATTTCTTTGTTTAAAAAAAATCCATCCTCTCTCAAAGAAAATTCTCTGTGTTCCACATACCCTCTGCTTGCCTCTGACATTGTGCTAATCACACTCTATAACAATAATCTCATCATTCATTCATCTACCTTTACAAGACTCATAGCTCCTTGAAGACAGGGGCCAGTATTATATTTGTATCTTCCAGTGGACGAGCAAAAAAATGAGCACTAAATGAATAAATGGATGTTAGTGGCCTTTTTGTTTCAATGAAGTTACCATATTTCTCCGCTTCAAGCTTGACCCATACATATGAGTGGTCTCATGTATGACTGAATATATGCTTTACATAAAATTGAGTATCAGGGTTTTGTGCTCATAAAATTCTAGTTCCATGCAAGTGTGTCATGAAAGTAAATTGGGACAGGAAATAGAAAAGCCATATGAACCCTATATTCAGAATCATAGAAAGGTGTGATATCCATGAGAAGACTATCTTTCCCAACCCTTCCACTGAAAGCAAAAAGATTTCTAGAAACAGAAAGCTGCTAAGGATGGGAAGCAACAACAAGACTGTCATCAGAAAGACTGAAAGACCTGAGTGTTCTATTTTAAATACAATGTAAATCCTGAAAAACATCTCACTGAGTTAGAGTCTCTTTATGCTGATGATGAAACAGCAGTTGTGAGCCCCAGGAATAAATGCCACAATAAAGCAAATGTTCAATCAATAGATCTCCATTTAAGCAATCAAAAAATATTTACTGAACACTAATCACAGGCCAGGCATTGTGTTGGAGGATGTGGGGGGCACAATAATGAATTGGTTGGAATTGCATTCTTATGGGTCTAGTACTATAAATATGTACATAATCATGATAGAAGGTATAAAATAATAAATGCTACCATGGTACACAAAGTTTTGGTAATGTTTAGAATAAGATGGTAATGCTATGGCTTGGCAGTGATTAGGAGAGATGGGGGAAAGTGAAGATGCTAGAGCTCCAGGAAAATCTTTTTCAAGAAGTGACATTTGAACTGAGTTAAAATATGTAGAATTCAGGGGAGGAAAGCACATTTCTGGCAGTGGGAATGCTGAATACTTTAGTTCTTCCATTTGACTGGAGTGGAAGGTACTTGAAGGTAAGTAGCTGGAAGTAAAGTCAGAAAGGTAGGCTGGAGCCAGATCACAGAAGGCTCTGAATGCCACCTTGGGAGAAGATTTATTCATTGACCGGGTACTTGTTTTAATGGTTTTAAAGATTTGGAGCTGAAAGTGAAAGACAGAAAA